GAGAGTGGGAACTTCCCAGAACATTGTATTGTGCCACGCCCAACAGAAATAACCCAGGTGGGCGACTTTAAAATCAGGATCTCCTCCGTAGCTAATAGCAATTCCCACCTTAGAGTTTACAAAGACTTATGGGTAGAAAAGCCACACTAAGTAATTTACTACACCGCAGTCTACCTTGGGTTTGTCAGCTTCAGCAAACATGAAGAGAAAGCCTCCAGCTCCAGTGGGCTGGGAGCGAGAGGGAGGCAGAGCTGAAGCCCAAGGTTTAGGAGCTTTCACCCAGACCCTAAAGCCTGACATTTTGAATTCAGACTTCCACCTTCCAAAGTTTCAAGAAAATAAACTCCTGTTTGTTAAAGTCTCCCATTTGTGGTATTTTCTGTTGGACCTGCACTAGAAGACCAAAACACAAGATTCTAAGGGTATAAGTTGTCTCTCTACACCCTCACACCCACTCCCTTCAGTACCCCCCAGACATAACCACTATTTTGGTTTGTTTCTGTAAAACTTAGTTTTGCCTTTTCTTGAACTTCATATAAATGGAAGCATACAGTATGTGCTCTGTCATATATGGCTGGTTTATTCCACATGGCTTTGAGATTCATCAATGTTGGTGCATGTATCAGTAGTTTATTCTTTTTTATTGCAGTATAGTATTCTACTATGTGAGTGCACACACTTTATCTATTTATCTGTTAATAGACATTTGGGTTGTGTCCAGTTTATTCTGGCCCCAATTTCTTTTTCCTCTTCTGGAACTTCAATTACTCATATATTAGAGTCTTGTATGTTTCTTATGCTCTGTTGTTTCCATTCTTTTTTTCCTTTCTGTGCTTCAGTTTAGATACTTTCTATATTAACCCTCAAGTTCAGACGTTCAAAGGTGTTCTTAGCTCAAGTCATGGTGTTTTCAGTTGCCTCGTGTGCATGTGGAAGCTGGACAAGGAATGAGGAAGATCAAAGAAGAATTGATGCCTTTGAATTATGGGGTGGTGGGACTTTATCTCATGTATTTTGTACATGTTATTTGAGGGACCAGTGCCTAGGGAAGGACATCATGCTTGGTTAAGTAGAGGGTCAATGAAAAAGAGGAAGACCCTTAACAAGATGGATTAACACAGTGGCTGCAACAATGGGCTCAAGCATGCAACCATTGTGAAGATGGCACAGGACTGGACAGTGTTTTGTCTGTTGTGCATGGTGTTGCTATGAGTCAGAACCAATCCGAAGGCACATAACAACAACAACTTGACTAATCCTATCTTCTGGTGTGTCTAGTCTCTATGATTCTGGATTTAGCCTTCAGTTCTATCAATTTTTAATAAACCCATCCAATGAGTTTGTAATTTCAGAGATGTTATTTTTCAGCTCTGTATTATCCTTTATGGGAGAAAGATGTGCAGTCTGCTTGTGTAAGGATTTATTCCTTGGAAACCCTGTTAGAGCTGCATCGGCACTCAATGACCATGCTACCCACCAGGGTACCCGACAGGAGATTTTATTTAAAGAGGCGAAAGGGCGCCTGTGCTGAGGCAGGACAGAAGAAGAAGAGGAGAGAGAGAGGAAGAAGAAGAGAAGAAGAGGAAGAGAAAGAGAAAGAAGAGAGGAAGAGGAGGAGGAGGAGGAAGAAGAAGAAGGATGAGGAGGAGGAGGAGGAAGAAGAAGAAGAAGAGAAGAAGAGAGCGAGCAGGGGAGAGGGTGGTCTTATATAGACCCAGGGTTAGGAGGTTGTACGTCAAAGCTGGGGGAAGGAGTCTTAACCAATCTGAAGCTATGTTGCCTTTTAAAATTCGCGCTTTGCAGGAAGCTCAGTTTCGATTTCCTTTAACTGACTTATGATCTTGGGCGGGGCAGTAGGGAATGAAGAAGAACCGGGAAGAGCCACGCAAGATGACATGGCATATCTCTAACAAACCCTATCGGCAGTTCTACTCTGTCCTGTAGGGTTTGCAATGAGTTGGAATCAACTCAACGGCAATGGGTTGGTTACATAGTTCTTTTGATTCCTTTTTAATAGATTCCAACTTTATATATTCATCTATTTTTTTTTTTTTGGTCCAACTTTTTTCTATTTAACATACTAATCATAGTTATTTTTAAGTCTTTGCTTGCCACTCCAACATTTGGATCATCTGTAGGTCTGCTTCTATTAGTTTTTCTCTTGTATATTGGTCCCATTAATCTTTTTTTGCATATGTGTGCATATTTTGTAATTTTTTGTTGTATGTCACGTATCAGATATAAAAGAAGGGTACAAGATTTAGATTATGTTATTCTTCTCTTTCTCCCCAAAGAGGGGTCCCTGAGGAGCTGGTCACCTCAGTGTAACGAGTATTGAGCTAGGTTAGTTGGGGCAGAGTTATAGTTCTGGTAAAATTCCATCTTCCTCTGGATTGCCCCGGTCCTCAGGAGTGCTTTCTTGGGTTTTCGATTAAAAGCCTGGTCAGTCTGTCTCCATCAGCCCTTAAAGTTCTGCTCTTTAGAGATTGAGGTCAGCTATTTGGGCTCCCAGCTCACACAGATTCAAAAACTGGCAAATATTTTCAGGGGGAGATCAGTTTGTTTTAGGTCCCCTCCCTCTCTAAACACTGCAAGTCAATGGGACCTGCTTTTCCAGCCTGGCCCCTTCTGTTTCCCACACTGCCCTAGAGAGAACTCAGCAAAATGTTCCATGGGAAGAAATGGATTGGCATTTTGGGCTCCTTTTGTTTTCAATCCATAGTGTAGTCCCTGCAATTGCCAAAAGCTTTTGGTTTTTCTTTTCCGAGTAGAAGCTCTCTGCTTAGGACAAGTCTGATTCTCAGTGATGTCTCAAATCAGCAAATGCCCCAGGGAAGAAAATAGCCATCCACCATCCACCACCAGCTCACCTTGAAAGGCGTTCCTCCTTGAAACTTTAGTTCATTCAGTCATTTCTTCCATTACTCTCCATTGTCTTTAAAACTATTAATTTTTCCTAGTTGTTGCAATGGGAGTGGTCTGCAGACATCTACCACATCATACCCAGAAGCAGTTCTTCACTTTGCTTTTTACCACTTCCAATGAAGACATGATTTGACTTCTTAATATTTTAATCTAATTACATTCTCACTAGATTTCCTCGTTTAAACAAGTACTAAACCAAGAAAACGAACCCCATTGCCAGAGAGTTGGTTTCGACTCACGATGGCCCCTGTGCTAGACTAGAGCTGCTCTGTAGGGTCTCCTTGGATGTCATTTTTGCTGAAGCAGATACCTAAGCCTTTTTCTGTGGTACTGCTGGTTGGGTTTAAACCCCCAAGTTTTAGGTTAGTAGTCAAGTGCAAATCACTTGCATCACCCAGGGACCCAACCAGGTTATAGGACTCTCATTGAAAATAAGCCAACTAAATAAACTCACTGCCACTGAGTCAGTTTTGACTCACAGTGACCCCTTCTTGGATTTCTGAGGGGGTATCACTACAGGTGTAGATTGCCCAACCTTCCTTCTGAGGAGAGGCTGGTGGGTTTGATCCGCCAGCCTTCTGGTTAGCAGTCAAATGCCTTAGGCACTGCCATAGATGCCAAGTATTTCCTGAATTTTCTTGAGGGATAGCCATTTAGCCTTTGAGTTTTTAATCCTTTGTTCTTTTGTGCTGTAGATCCTCCCCAGTTTCTGTTTCTTCAGTTTGTGCATACTTCCTTATCTTTTTGACCTTCACTGTTACTGCTGGAAATGTTTCACAGGATTTTATAGATTTCAGTGGGAGTTCCTGGGAAGCATTTTCTTTCCATTCAGCCACCTTAGTCTCCTTTGACTCTCTCCTAATCTCTTCCTGAATCTTCCGTGATTATCATACACATCCATTAAAAAAAGAAAAAAAAAAAAAAAAAAAACCCCAAACTCATTGCCATTGAGTTGGACATGACTCATAGCGACCCCTCCTTAGGTTTCTGAGGTGGTATCACTATAGAAGTTGATTGCCCAATCTTCCGAGGAGTGGCTGGTAGGTTTGAACTGCCAGCCTTTTGGTTGGTGGTCAAATGCCTTAGGCACTATGCCACCAGTGCTCCTACACATGCATAGTGTGTAACATTTATAAGCTAATGACCTTCAAACCACTATCACCAGCCTTTATCTCTGCCTGGGCTTCCACACTTACAGGTATACCTGAGATACTCTGGATTCGGTTCCAGACCACCGGAATAAAGCAAATTTTGTGATAAAGTGAGTCACATGAGTATTTTTGTTTTCCAAGTGCATGTAAAAGTTATGGTTACACAGCTTGGGGGGGCAGAAGTACATGGGAGGGAAGGACACAAGGAAGAGGTAACCACAGGGAAGTGGGTAGAGAGCTGTTGCAATGTGGGGGACTGTAGTAAATGTTGTGAGACAAATGTGTATAAACTATTGTATGGAAAATGAATTTGCTCTGTAAACTTTCACCCAAATCACAATATTTTTTTACAAGAGTTATGCTTACACTATATTGTAGTAGTCTATTAAGTGTGCAATAACATTATGAAAAAGTCTGAAATACTGTGAGAATTACCAAAATATGACACATACACAAAGTGAGCACACGCTGTTAGAAAAATGGCGCCAACAGACTTGCTTGATGCAGGGTTGCTACAGATCTTCAACGTGTTAAAAAAAAAAAAAGGCATTATCTGTGAAGTGTGACACATCAAAGTGTAAATAAAATGAAGTACACCTGACCTCTCCATTACAAAAAAAAAAAAAAAACCTCACTGCTATCCAGTCAAGATTCTACCTCTCCACAGGTCCCTCAAACTCACCATCCTCCACAACTTTGCTTAGCTTCCTGTGATCCTTTCTCAGGGAATGGCACCACCTTCTGGTCAGAAGTTTGTATATCACCCTGATCTTCTGTCCTGCTTCCCCATGTCTCAAATCCAAATGGCTAGCAAATCATGTCAGTTATACCCCATAAATCCTGCCTGAATCCACTTTCCCCTTCCCCCCGACCACAGTACAGGCCCTCTAGTCCTTCCAGAGGAGCACACATGCCAAGCACTTGGTGGGCATAAGTGGTTTTATTATTTCTGCCTAGGAGAGGAAGCCCTGGCACAACAGTGAGGCTGAGGAGACAGGAGCTGCACGCATCCCAGTTGGCAGCAAGGAAAGTGGCGGCTGGCATGTGGGACTGCGAAGAGCCATCCAGTGGAGCGAGCTGGAGCTGGTGAAGAGGCACAGTCTTGTCTGCAGAGGCTGCTGGCCTGAGAAGGGATCCCAGCCTCATCGATGCCTCTTTCGGATGCTCTGCAGCTCCTGGCAGATGGTGCTAAAGCTGGGCCGTTGCCCAGGCTCATAGGCCCAGCACTGCTCCATGAGCCTGAACACAGCATCGGGACACAGTTCTGGGCAGGGCAGGCGGCCCCCTGTGAGGATAGGCATAGGATATCAGGCATGAGGAGAGGGCTTGAGGGCCTATGCCAGCCCCTGGGGAAAAACTGTGAGCAACAGGAGCTGCTTGAGATGCACTGTTCCTAAAGAACCATGCTTCTTCATCAAGGGCCCCAAAGACACACAGAGGCCTGAGTTCTAATCTCAATCCCTCCATGTGCTAGTTGTGTGACCTTGCAAGACTCAGTTTTCCAGTCTATAAAAGGGACATATCAATTCCCACCTCATGTGGTGTGAAGAGTAACTAAAATAACCTATGGCCCAGGGTACTCAATGCTCACTCAATGGTAGCTACAGGATTGTTCCTACTCTGCCCCACTGGGAAGGTTTGGGGACCAAGAAGAGTCTAGTTAGAACCCTGGGAGAAGGGCCTGGCTCTGAAGGCTGCTGACATGCAGATGGGTTCCTTACCCTTTTCTACAAACTCTCGAGTTTGCTGGTTGCTAAGGTTGGGGTATGGGGAGGCCCCCAGGCTGAAGGTCTCCCAGAGCAAGATGCCAAAGCTCCACACATCACTCTCGGAGGAGTAGCGGCCTGCAGAGGAAGTAAGGCAGGGTGACTGGCTGTCCACATGGGTAGAGTGAGGCAGGCAGAGGAGAGCAGAGCTCTTAATGATCATGCTATAGATTGAACTGTGCCCCTGAACAGATATATGAAAGTCCTAATCCCTGTACCTATGAATGTGACCTTACTGGGGAAATAGAGCCTTTCTTTGAATATATTATCAGTAAAGTTAATGAAGTCATGCTGGAGTAGGGTGGATTCTAGTCCTGTATAACCGGTGTCTTATCTAAGAGGAGGACAGACACAGAAACAGAGTCACACACAAGGGAAGATGCCACGTGAAGATACATCTTCAAGCAGTAAAACAATGCCAAGGGTTGACAGCAGCCACTAGAAGTTAGGAGAGAGGCACAGAATAGTTCTTCCAAAGCCTTCAGAAAGAACTGACATATTCCAGCTGGACAACAGACAGGCATATAGGGTGAACATTTACATCAGGCAGATACACTCTTTAGAACAATCAACCATGGGAGAACAGAAGGGCAGTATCTGCACAGAGAGATAGCTCTGGTGGCAGGAAAGCATAGGAAAGGACACAGGAAAGAGGTAACTATGAGGAGGAAGTGGGAAGAGAGCTGTTACATTGTGGGGAACTGCAGTCAATGTCATGAAACAAAATGTGTATGAACTTCTGTATGGAAAATGAATTTGCTCTGTGAACTTTTACCCAAATTACAATAAAAATTTTTTAAAAAAAGAAAAGAACTGATATAGCTGAGACCTTGATTTGGACATCTAGTCCCCAGAACTAGGAGACAATAAATTTCTGTTCTTTAAAGCTACCCACTTTGTGGCCTTTTGTTATGGCAGCCCTAGGAGACTGACATATCGCCACTGGGTGACAGGACCCACGCCTAGCCTCCAGCCCTGCAGCCATGAGAAGACAAGGACCACATACCATAGTTCAGAGCCTCAGGGGCAGTCCACTTTACAGGGACTTGTCTGAGGCCTCCTGATGCTGCATAGACCCCATCAGCTTCCTCCCGAGACATCCCAAAGTCACTGATCTTCAGTACGTTCTTCTCTGTTACCAGGCAGTTCCGAGCAGCCAGGTCCCTGGGTAAGGCAGGGCAGAGGGAGGGCTCATTAAACCAATGTCCACAAAGCCCCAGTCACCTGTCTAGCTGGGGCTGAGCACTGCGGATTCAGGCAGGACAGGAAAGCTCCACTTCTAGAGCTGATGCCTGGCACTCAGGGGACAGGAAGAGTCCAAGGAGCACAAGGAGCACCTCTTGACTCCAGTCAGGTGTGGTGTCAGGGGCTGAAATGTCCCCACGCACTCACCGGTGGATGCAGCACTTGCTCTCCAGGTACTCCATGCCAGCAGCTGCGTCCCCCACCATCTGTAGAAGAGTCTTCACCCGCAGGCGGGGGCCCTCTGTCCGGAGGAAGGTCAGGAAGTCGCCCCCTGGTGGCAGGAGAAGCCCTGTTGAGCCTCCTTCAGGGGCCCCTTGGCTGGGTGGAGTTTCTCATCCCTCAAGTTCAGCAGCCCCTGCTCACCCTGCACAAGCTCCATGACGATGTAGATGGGCTGCTTCTGGGTGCAGACGCCAATAAGACGCACGATGTTGGGGTGGCTGTACTGCTTCAGGATCCTGTAGGGCCCTGCTGCTTAGGTGCCATAAGGCCTGGTCCCACCTCTGGGGCCTGCACATTCGCCTCCCCACCTCATCCCTGGATGCCCAGGGAAGCAGGTGGAGGATGGAGAAGGGCAGCAGGAGGGGAACCTGGCATCTGGGGCCAGTAGATCAGGATGTGTGACCTCAGGCAGGTCACTGGGTCTCTCCAAGCTCGTCCCCCCTATTCCATACAATGTATTCCCCAATATAAGAGAAGGCATTGCCTGCACAGGGGACCATGAAGACTGAAGGAGACCACAGAAGTCAAACAGTTATGGAGTGCTATGCAGAGGAACTCTTTCACATGGGGAACCTATGATAAGGAAGATCCCATCACCCACCTCGCTTCCTGTAGAAACTTCGCCTTGAGGTCAGGGGGGAGCGTCTCTCGGCAAGATTTTATAGCCACAAGGGTGTTGTCAGCTCGAAGGCGTCCACTGAACACTTCCCCGAAGTTCCCCTAAAACAGCCTTGGGCTTCTACCAGTCTTCCCTGAACCACCTTCTTCCCCTTGTCCCCACCCCCTCTTCACTGAGTGCCCCCTGGCTCTCTAGCAGTCCACACCCTGCCTGGGGGACCAAGATAGTAAGGATAAATGGTCAAAGGAAGGTATCTCAGACTTTCCACCACATTCACCAAGAGAAGAGATGTGGAACACCCAAACACGACTTCCACTTGGTTTGAAAAGTATTCTGATTTTTAGGGAAGTGATCTCTTTCCTAAGCATATTCTAAAACCTGTTGCCATGAGTTGATTCCAACTCATAGAGACGCGTGTGCCACAGAGTAGACATCGGGTTTTCTTGGCTGTAATCTTTTTGGCAGTAGGTTGCCAGGCTTTCTCCTGCGATGCTGCTGGGTGAGCTCGAACCACCAACTTTTAGATTAGCAGTCGAGTGCGAACTATTTAAGCCACTCAGGGACCTTAAGTGTATCTTACAACTCATATTAGCAGAGTATGGCTCCTTGTGCACACAAGAACACCTAGGGGAGGTAGAGCCCAAAGGTAGTGGCGGAGAGGGTGCTGGCGACAGAACTGTCTTCCAAGGAATAGGTACCTTTCACTAAGTTTCCTGGAGGACTATGTATGGCCGTGGCTGGGCAGGGATCACGGGTATAAGATGGGAGTCAGACTGAGGCAGGGAGGCAGAAAAGCTCTCTGGAGGGTGGGGCTTCAGGTGTGACTTGGGTTGTAGGCTGGAAAGAAGTAGACAGGGCAGGGAAAATGCAGGTGGTGAGGGGGCTGGTGGAGCTGGTGGCTAAGTAGAGAAGCACTCACCCGCCCAATCTGCTCCCCTAACACTAGGTCTTCATGGTTCAGTGCCCACTTGTCCTGAGGGAGAGGAAGATGTGGGAGTCAAAAGTCAGTGAAGGAAAAGGGTGCTGGGCCCTGCAGAGGGCTGAACATCTCCCCCACCAGTAAGTGTCTTTTAATTCTTGGAGCTTTGGTTTGTTGGTCTGTAAAACTGGGATTGGACCCCATCAGGCTCACAAACTCAGAAGCCTTCAGGGACCAGGCAGGTATCCCAACAGTGCGAGAGTCAGCCTGGTGTGTGCAACCCAAGGAAGAGGAGTAGCCTTGACATCCCAAATCTCCCAGAGCAAGGCTGGCCACCTTGGGAGGAGTGAGGAGTCTATCCCTTTAGACGGGGTCCCTCAAAGCCCTCCCTGCTTTCACTCTGTGGGTCTGGAACCTGTGTTCCCACCAGTTCAGCCATGGGCTCACCTTGGGTACGGCCCTATTCAGGACAACACCGCTCTTCTTGGTAAGGGGCTGCTGGGAGTGCAGCAGGTGGTCAATAAGCAAGGGGATGCTGGGAAAGCCATCCCCTTCCAGTCGGTACAGGTTCTGTGGGGCAAAGGGACCTGGGGTCAATGGCGCCCATTGCTGGGGAAACCTGAGCCCTGGAGAGGAGAGGAAGGGCAGCAGGGAGAAAGGGCCTATCTAGGGCTAGAGACAGTGAGACCTGCAAAAGAGCCATTCCAGACACAGTCTGCTGGCACAGGACAGCTCTACCACCCTTGAGCTCAGAGGACATGCACTGAGACTGAAGCTTCAATTCTGTCGTGGGGACTAGAAAGGGTCTCTGTGGCCCTTCCAGTTCAATCTGCCATGGAGGCATCTAAGATGTACCCACTACTCCTGACTCTCTCAAAGTCATTGCCCTTGGGGAAGGGAGAGGGGAGAAAGGGAGGGGAAAGGAGCCCCACTCACATCCACTGACTGGATGATGAAATGCCGGGGCTGCTCGTCCCACAGCACCGACAGCACGTACTCCTGCTTGCCCTGGCTCTCCCGCACCAGGAAGTCCCCGGAATGTATCAGCAACTCTGCCACCTCTGCCCGTGGGATGGCTCCATGGTACCACAGCTGCTCGTACAGGGGCTTCTGTACCTCAGGGACGAGCTGCAGTGGTGGGGGGAGCTGAGGCAGGGGAGGAGTATGGAGGGATCACTCAACCAGCTTGTGGGAGGCCACTGGCCCCCCATAAGCCCATCGATCCTCATACCCACCCGAGTGGCATGTGGAGCACTGCTGGCTCTAGAGCGAGCAGGGACTAGCCCAGGTTTGCTCTGTGGCAGAGCTGGGATGGGAAGTCCAGGCTGGTGGATCCCAAACCAAGCTGGTCCCCTTTCCATCAGGCACACTGCCCAACCACTCCAGCAGCAGGGAGAGTGGTAGGGTAATCAAGGCTGTGGTAGGCACACAAGGGTGGCAGAGAGGAAGTGGGTGCTGGGTGCAGCCTGAAGGGAAGGGCTCCCAATAAAAGCAGCCTGGGCAGAGCTACCCCTCTGACAGTACCACCACTGTTTGAACCCCAAACACTATGCTAAAGGGACAGTTTAGGGGAACTTCTCTGAGATCCTCTTAGACCAGGCAGTGGTGAGGGCTCAGGCAGGGATCTACTCACCGAGAACTTGGGGCGGAAGATTCCTGAGATGTGGCTCTTAAGCAACTCCAGGGTGGGTGTCCTTCCCCCCTCTCGCTCCTGCTCCTGAGGCCAGGGACAGACGTCAGCGAGTGGCCAGGCTTGGGGAGGGGGAGGGCAAAAATGAGGAGCACAGCCCGGCCAAGTGGGCATGCTGGTAGTGGTGGGTGCAGGTGGGCGGCTCACCGAGGAGGACGTAGAGTGGCAGTCATCCTGTAGGAGAGGCACGGGTGGGGGCTCGCCAGGGCCCAGATGCTCCAGCTTGGTCTGCAGCAGCTCTTGCTGGGCCTCCAGCTTGGCCTGGCTGCACAGAGCAAGCTGCAACTCCTGCATCACCTCCTGCAGTGCCTGCTTCTTGCCCAACAGCTGCACCCTGGCAGGGGGCAGGTAGGAGGGTAGGGTACTGAGAGGGGCTCAGCTTGCAGGTGGTGGCCAGCAGCACGTCAGATAGGCCAGGGAGAGGGAGGGATGGCCAGGAGGCTGCCCCAGTGGAGCCCACTCACCGCTCCCGAGGGTGGGTATTCTGCTCCTCATTCCAGAGCTCATGCTGCAGCTGAGTGACCATCTTCTGCCGGCTGAGCACCGTCTCAGTGGCCATGGCCAGCTCATCAGTCACTGCGGTCATCCTGCTCACAAGGGGAGGGTAACATTAGAGCCAAGGTCCCCAGGTGCATCCCTGCAGAACCAAGCAGGCAGCCGCCCGGCCATAGCCCTATATGGGCAGGGTCCGCCACTTCCATGGTCTACCCTGGCCCAGCTGCCAAGTCACCACGCACGTGTGTTGCACGCTCTCCACTGTCAGCTCATTTAGCTGCAGCTCCCCGGGCTCCAGAGGTTCACCCTCCTCAAGCAGGGACTCATCAAAGGTGACGCAGGGGGGGATATCAGGCGCAGACCTGTGGGGGGCCAGTACCCAGTCAAGGAATAGGCCATTAGGCCTGGTGCCCAGCAGGTATGAAGAGAGGCTTACCCATACTGTTTCAAGAAGCCCTGGTACTCTGCCTCAGGTTGTATATGGGCCACGGCTGCTGCCATCTCCTGGTGAATGGCCACCACCTCATCCTGCACCAGGCTGCTGATCTCCAGGTATTCCTGCAAGATCTCCTTCCTGCCCCCAGATGGGACCCCTAGTCAGAAGGGCATCAGGCTGGGGAGCTCAGGGCCTGCAACATTGGGTTTGAACTGGCCCTGGGTTTGACCTCTCCAGCTCACCATGTTCTAGCCAGATGACTTCAGGCAAATTACTTACTCTCTCTCTAATCTTCAGTTTCTTAGTATGCAAAATGGGAACGATCAGTGTTCCAGGCTCAGGGCATTATAACAGTGATCCTATGAGATGATATGTACAGAGCTTCTGGTGTACAGAAAGCATTCATCCCTGCCCTGAGCAGCCAGCTTAACAGCTAGGATTCTGGGCCACCAACCTATCACTGACCCCAGTCCTGGTCTCTCCCCTGAGCTCCAGCCTCATGTATCCAACCATCTACTCAAAATGTTCCATTGGACAGCTCTCAGACACTCACACTCTCCTAGTTGAAGCTAAACCTGCTCCTCCAGCAGCTTTCCCCATGTAAATTCATGGCGACTCCATCTTCCAGCTGCCCAGGCCAAATTGCAGGAGTCATTCCTGATGCCTCTCACACTTCATTTCCAATCCGTAGGAATTCTACCGGCTCCACCTTCAAAATATACCCAGGACCTCACCACTTCCTACCACCTCCATTGCCTACCATCTTGCTCCAAGCTGCTGTGATCTTTCTCCAGGATTATGACCACAACCTCCTGTCTGGTCCCTGCCTCTGTCCTTGCCCCCTGAAGTCTATTCTCTAAACAGCTGCCACAGTGATCGCATTAAAATAAAGGTCAGATCATGTCACTCTTCTGGCTTACCCAGAATGGCCTAGTGGAACCTCTGTCATCCAGTAGCCCCATCCTTAGCCCTCTCTGGCTTCAGTCTGATCCTCACTCTGCATAAGTTCCAATGGCCTCCTTGCTATTCCCTGGATACTTCAGGCACTGTCCACCCCAAAACCTGTGTACCTGCTGTTCCCTCTTTCTAGAAAGGTCTTCCATCAGATATCCCTATGGTTTATTCCCCCACCTCCCTCATCTTCTCATCTCTGAATATCATCTTCTCAAGCAGGCTTTCCTAGACCATGCCAATTAAAACTGTAACCCCCTCAGCACTCTGTCCCTTTTTCTTGCATTATTTTTCTTTTATTGCCTCTACCATTTAGTCATTATTTCAGTCACTAACTTTATATATTTTCTCTTCCCGCTAAAATGAACGATCCCTTAGGATAGGTATCATCTACTTTGTTCAACCCTCCATCACTGAGCCTAGAATAGTGCTCAATACATCTAATAAGAGTCCATAAAAGGCCTCAGGATAATACAATTAGCTCTAACCACCACTCCATATCCTCCTCAATGAGCTGCCCACCCACGCCTGCCACCACCAGCCATGTCCACTTGCCTAGGCCGTGCGCCTCATTTTCACCCTTCCTCTCCCCAAGTCTGGGCCCCCTGCTGATGTCTGTCCCTGGCCTCAGGAGCAGGAGTGAGAAAAGGGAAGGACACCCACCCTGGAGATGCTTAAGAGCCACATCTTGGAAATCTCTGGCCCCAGGTTCTCATGTGATAACGTAACCACCACCTGCAGCACTGCATTTTCTGGCCCCTGCTTCTGGGCATGGTGGCAGAGCATTAGGGCTGTTCTGGATGTGGTAGGGGCTGTGGACTCACAGGATGCATGCCATTTCCTGGTGCAGGTCCTGTAGCGACTGGAACAGGCTGGGCAGCATGAGCTGGTGGTGGTGCTGGTGGTGCAGCTGCGCAGCCCGCACACCTAGCACGTAGCGGTTATGGTGGGCAAAGAGCTTCCACAGGCTGCGCACGTACTTGTCCTTGGCCTTGTCACGGTCCTTGTCTGCCAGGTGTGTGTATGGGGTGGGTGGGGGTGGGTGACAGCACATTGGCCTGGGCAGCCCCCTTCCCTGGGCACCCATGGGCAGGTCAGGACTGGCTTGGGGTTTAAGTGCACCTCTGCTGGTAGGGGAAACCGCAAACCTTTGTTGGCCTCTTGGTACTTGCGCCTGGCCTGGGCACTATCCCGTGCCAGGACTCGGTACTGGCTCTTCAGCTTTTCAATGTCCTGGCTGTGGGTCTGGGGAGAGAGAAGGTCAGTGTGGAGCAGTGGGCCCCCATGATATGCACAATTCCTGCTCTTGGTGAAGGCCTGGGAAAGTCCTGTAGTCCAGGAAGGCAGCACACCCAAGCGTGTCCTCCAGGAGGGGCCCAGCTGATGACTGCTGGGGCAGCTGGCCACTGACGTTAGGATCAGAGGACCTGAGTTGAAACAGGCTTGTGTTTGTGTGTGGGAGAAGGTAAAGGGATACACTAGGCAAGTATAACTGGCCTGCCTTGGCCTAAGAGTGCTATCTTGGTGGCAGGAGGGCCAGGGTGACTTGTGCAATCACACAGAGCCCACACTTACAAAGCACCTATGCTTGGTTTGGTTTGGTTAACTAGGTGGCATAAACAGTTAAGCCCTCAGCTATTAACTGAAAGGTTGGTGGTTCAAGTCCACCCACAGGCTTCTTGGAAGAGAGGCCTGGTGATCTACTTCTGAAGGATCACAGTCATTGAAAACCCTTGGAGTGCAGTTCTACTCTGACACTCATGGGATCACCATGAGTCAGAAAGGACCTGATGGCAACTGGTTTGGTTTTAATTTTTGCTTGGTTTAATTCTCTGTTGTTGCCATATTGAAATTTTTAATAATTTTTTTAACAAGAAACTCCACATTATTGTTTTGCACTAGTCCCTTCAAATTATGTTCCTTACCACTGAGACTATGGCCCCTAGCTGCCCTTCAGGTCTGGAATTGAACCCACACTGTGGCTTCCAGCTAAACAAAAGACAGGCGTATGAGTTGAACATGCACCTGAGGTAGATACACTCCTTGGAGAGAACAATCATGGGAGAAAGAAGGGCTGCTTATGCACAGGGAGACAGCTTAGGGGGCAGGAGTGCATGGAGGGTGGACACAGGGAAGTGGTAACTATCAGGAGGAAGTGGGAGGGGAGCTGTTGCATTGTGGTAAATTGTGAACAATGTCATGAGACAAAGTGTATGTGAACTACTATATGGAAAGTGAATTTGCTCTGTAAATTTTCACCCAAATCAAAAGAAAAAAAAATTATGTTCCTAGTGGCAGGAACAACAGATGGCAATCTGAGACCAGGGTTCTCATCCCAGCTTTTTTGTTTATGCACTGCAATGCTTTGGGCAAACTCCATTTCACTTCTCTGAACCTTAGTTTCCCCATCAGTAACTGAGTATACATAGACTCAACAGATCAGAGGCATAGTCTTTTTCTTAAAGGGATAGATAGTAAATATATTTTTGTAGGCCATATGGCTTGCTGTTACAATTACAACTCTACTATTGTAGCTCTATAGTAGCCATACGCACTGCCGTTGAGTTGGATCTGACTCATAGTGACCCCTCCTTGGGTTTCTGAGGCGATATCACTACGGAAGGAGATTGCCCAACCTTCCTTCCAAGGAGTGGCTGGTGGGTTTGAACCACCAGCCTTCTGGTTAGCAGTCAAATGCCTTAAGCACTATGCTACCAGAGCTCCCAATAGTAGCCATAGATAATATGAAAACAAATGGGCTTGGTTGTATTCCAGTAAAACTTTATAAAACAGGAGAGTCCTGGATTAGATGATCTTCTGAGGGGAGAGGAATAGGGCCAGGCTGGCCACTAGGGGCTGCTGTGGGTCCATGGCAAGGCTGGACTCTGCTGGTGGAAGGGGTGCAGCGCAGGGGGCCTGATTAGCACACTAAATGGGGAGACTAGAGCACCCAGATAAATCACCAGTTCCAAATTACACAGCCTCTAGATCAAGGGACTCAAACCTAGGTAGGCAGACTTCATAGCCCCAGTCCTTGACCACTGTCTCAGGGGAGGAGGTCTGAGGAGATGCTGAAGGCAGGGAAGTAGACTGCCAAGGGCAGACTGACTAGTCCTTATTACTCTGTCTCTCAGACTCATAGCCAAAGAAGCAGTGTGGGAAGAGGAGCACAGACCTTGAGTTCCTCCTGGGCCCACTCATCCTATCCCAGTCCTTTCTTTGCCCATGCAGAGTAGGAAGCTAAGAAAATGCATGAGAAGCCCTGCTGCAGGCCAATCCAAGTCAGGGGAGAAGAGAAGGAAGCTGTAACAGGGTTGGGGCAGGCCCTGAGGAGTTTTACTGTAAATCCAGAAGCTCTTGTGCAAAACTGGCCTTTTTAGCCTTGAGCAGGGTAGAAGTAAACAAGTGAAGGCCCAGCACCACTCACCCACCTTTGTGAGTTCCTGCTGCAGTTGCTGCCACTGCTCACTGTAGGTTTTGCGCAGTTGCTGCCGCTCCCGGATCAGCAAGCTCAGCTTACTCAGTGGCCCCGAGTTCAGATCTTCTGCATGTTGCCTCAGCAACCGGCTCAGGCTCTCTGTCTGGTTGGTGATCTCAGCCCAGGACTACAGCCAGCGGGTGGGGAAGGCAGGGAGTGGGGGACAATGGTTTCCAAGTCTCCAATTCCACCCCTCCCTAGTGGGCTCTAGGAGAGGGAGGGGACATGCAGGTATACCCAGCACCCGTCGGAATTCACAGGTGGAGTGTGGGAAGGAGGTGAGCAGGCTTAGGGCCCCATAGACCTCTACCTGGCTGATGGGGCTGTCAGGTCCCATGCCCCGGCTCTGGGCCCCACCCTCCTGCACTGACATGTGGTGTAGCAGCCCTGCATATTCCCTGTCACTCTTGACCCGCTGGGCCATCCACTTCCGCATGCCCTCCAATAGTCGAAGCTCGGCCTCCTGCAGCCGCTGCACTGCTCCGTGGCCCTGGGGACTGCACAGCTCAGAAGAGAAGCCCATGGTGCTGTGCTGGAGACAGAAGAGAGACCATAACTGGGGCTCAAGGCAACATCTGGAGGTGGAAGAACCGGGCAGGACTGCCCACCAAGAGAAGCTGCAGTCAGGCAGGAGGTGGGGTCCTGCACTGCTGAACAACAGCCAGAAGAACAAGGAGCCGGAAGAACGAACAGCGGTCTGGGCCGGTACTAGCTCTCAGGGTCTCCTGTGTCCCAAGCCAAGTAGTGGCGCCAGAGCCCTAAACAGGAACCAGTCAGAAGCCTCCCTTCCCAGGGCCCTTCCACTCAGCACCCATTACAGGGGCGTGCATGTCCAAGCCTTCGGAAGGGCTAAGCCAGTACTGGCGCTCGCAGAAGCAGCCGCTGCCCGAGCCCTGCCGGCCACCCCGCCCTTCTGCATGCTCCTTCCCCCGCCGGGGCCCCGGCCGGGTCCAGGGGCGCCCACCGCCCCCTGCCCGCCTCCCCGCTCCCCGCGCGCCGCCTCCCTCCCGGACCGCCAGGCCAGAGTTACCCGCGCGGGCAGCTGCTCCTGGGGCCGCCGCGGACCAACTCAGGCCCCGCGCCGACCCCTGGCCAGTTCCTGATTCCGCGCTTCCTCCTCCAGCGGTTTCAGTTGGCCCAGGCCCTGGGGCGGGCCCGCCGAGGGGAAGGGGCGGGCAGGAGCGGGACCGTGCCCAGCGCCGGGCCGCAACCTCCGGCCATCCGCGGGGCCGCGGAAACGGAAGGGAGGAGGGGGCCAGGAAAGAATGGTCGTGTGGGAGAGTGGCCTTCCCGGGTAGCGCCTCGGAGTACAGAGAAGTGGCCCAACGGTGCGGTGGTGGTTGGGTGGGTGGGGGTAGTCGGGCACAGGACAAGGCCCCAGTTGGGCGTTGAGCCCAGAAGAGCCCCTGGTGTTGAGGGACTGGAGGCAGGCAGGCAGCTCTAGCACTAGGCCAGGGCGGCCCTAGAAGAGGAAGGGGAAAACCTGGCCTAGGCCTTCCCCACCCCACTGGATTCCCTAAGGAAAATTCAGGCGCCAGCTTCTAGTTGAATAAAATTGCCAAGTAGATATTCCCAGGAGAGGCCTGCTTCTTAGGCACAGGTCCTGTTGGCACCATCCTCACCCACCTACCCCCTGGCAGGGGCTCAGGTCCTAAGGGAAACTAAGTGGAGGCAAGGGGCAGGGGCTGGGAAGTGAGAGGTATGGAGTTTCCTGTGCTTCATACAGAAGTGGAGACCCTCAGATCTCTGAGCTCAGGACCAGAGACTTGGCTCTCTCCACCAAAACCTGTTTTGGTTCAGTCAGGCCCCATAGAGGCATCCTGCCCCACTGAAGGCCTCAGCCCTACAGCTGGTGGCCAGGTCACTCCAGCTGAGGAAGATATTGACACAGGTCCATGAGAGGGAGCTATTCACCTCCCCATCCTGCTGGAAATCAGGACATTGGAAATGCTTAGCTCCTGAGGCTCAGCGGGCTCACTTGCCCCCACCTCCCCTTGTCTCCAACTGCCATCTCCTTCTACATCTTTTTGGTTCATCTGCTCCTGCAGGAGGACCTGAAGCCACTTAGAGGGTACTGTAGCTTCCTGACTTGAGCCAACCAAAAAGCAGGCAGCCACAATATGGGCATCTAACTCATGCACATTCCCCACCCCTCTCCCCAGCCAAGATACAGTCAGGGGTCCTGGGAAGATCAGTATCACCACACTGGAGGCCAGGTCTGGTTTGCATAGTCTGCACATTTAATCACTTTAAAACCTCTAACATTATCTCGTGTCCATTAAATAGAACCAACAATGCTGGGCCTGTTTTAAATTACAAGAAAAAAAAAAAATCACTGTGTACCAACCCAGTATCTTACAAAACCAGCCGGGCTGGCCACAAGGGTGGGGTGGTGAAATAGAAGGGGGCACCCATGGGCAGGTGGCTGAGTGCCAGGAGGGGCTAGGGGAAAGGAAAGGGGGCTCCCATATGGGAGGGGACTGATTGTCCTAATGGAGGGGTGCAAAAGGCACGTCAGAAGAGTGGGGGCTTGGGAGGCACAACAGGTCAATGCTTTCTCCATCAGGGCACAGTATGGAGGGGCCTCAGTGCCACCACCCACCCACTCCTGGATTTGGAGAACCAGTGACCCATTAGCCCTTGGCACAATGAGCCCCACTTGAAACACAGATGACAGCCTGCCCCCCCCACCATGAACCCCTTTCCTAAGGCCCACCTGGCCTGCCTGCCTCTTCATGACTTGGGGCTCAGCTACTCCTCGGCAACATGCGTCAGCCCCCCCCCACCTCAGGCTGGGGCAGCTGGTGGATCAGCAGGGGGGACAGTAGGTGTGGGAAGGTGGGTGGTCCAGCTGCTACCACCATTAAAAAAATACAAAAAAAAAAAAAAAAATCAGCATCTAAAGTGAAATCATCACAGAGTGAAAATATATCCTCAAACAGCCCCTGAGATCCCCACAGGGGAAAGCAGCATCGGGTGGGAGACAGGAGAGGCCGGCTTGGCCACCGTCCCTCCCCACCACCCATCCAGGGGCTCCAGGACTGTGAGTGCCAACAGCCCAGGCAGCCCCGGGCTCAGAAAACAAGGACTTGGGCCCTGGCAGGAGGGGAAGGTGGGAGAGAGGGACGGTCAGGACACCAGCACAGGGCTCAGCCTGAGCATCAGTCTTGACTGGGCCAGCCCTGCTTAGCCTGACAGCCACCTACGTGGAGGCACAAGGTGCAGAGCGGGCACTGGGGCCCATACATGCCCTGGCAGCACCTACCTGCCTTGGTCCCTTCCTATGATCACCACTTCCACCCCAGGGCTCACTAGAGTGGGGACAGGGTTGGTATGCAGAAGCCCTTAGAGAGGTGGCCTTCTCCTTCAAATATCCCCTAGGCCTACCTCCCTGTTGCCTAGATGGGAACCATTATTGCTTTAGAGGGACAGGAAAGAGGCAAGAGCTACAGCCTGGGCCAGGAATCCTGAAAAGGAAGGGCTGTCCCTCTTCATCCATAAAGAACACTGGCTGGTCTGGACGCTGCCCCACACATTTCACTCCTTTTTCCACATGGAGGGCTGCTGAGGGTGGGGTGAGGCCCTACCCTGCCCCTCAAGCAGCCAGGTGGGCCCAAGGGTAGCATGGGAAGCAGTCTCTGCCCCTCTTGCCTCCCAGCTGGGGTCCAAACCCAGTCCCAAGATAAAAAAATACTTTGGTGAATTAAAAAGTGCCCAAGGAGGGGATCGGCTTGAGGGGCGGGCAGCAGGCGCTTGTCAAAGGGCGCTCTGGTCTTTGATAAAGGCGGTCCTCTCGCCCCGGCCCTCATCCTCTTCTGAGTCAGATGGGCACTCCTCCTGCCAGGCTTCGGGAGGCAGCCCCTTGTAAGAGATGAGGCCCCGGTCCATGGTGTACACCTTCATCCCCCGGAAGCTGAAGCCTGAGCGCAGCTGTAGGACCAGGAAGACAGTGACAAAGACTAGCACGATGAAGGCGCAGCCAAGACCAGCCACCACCTCAGGCAGGTGAGAGGGCAGCAGCCCTGCCCGCCTAGGCTCTGTCTCCACCTCCTGGTGTGGTTGTGGTGGTTGCTGCTGCAGTGGTGACTCACGGCTGCTTTGGCTTTGCCGGGAGCATGTCTGAGTCACAAGGTCCAAGGAGGCGTGACTTGGGCAGCTGAGGCAGTCTGTGGGGGCCAGTCCCTGGCACGTGGCACATGAGGGGTGGCAAGGGGTGCAGACACTGGCTTGGATAGTCTCCACATCGTTTTCCGTGCTATAGTGTGTATTGAGGACTTGAGGGGTGAAGCCTGGTGGGCAGTGCTGGACACAGGTCTTCTGGTGCAGGGAGAAGCCTTCCTCACACACTGCCAGAGAGAAGATGGGTAGGGGGTCAGCTAAGCTGACCATGTTCACAGGTGCCTAGGCCTGTGTGAACCCTCAGCCCAGGACCATGGAAGACCCATGGACTTGCAACTTCAAACACAGTCCCCGCTATCCTCAGGAGCCACCAGTGCCAGATCTATGGTTGTCCCAAGGGCTCTAGGAACCCCTGGTCTCTTCAAATCCTTTTTTCCTCCTAGAGCTGGTCTTTAGGATAGACACCCTCTGCCCTCCACCCTCACACCCCAAAACACCACCAACACCCGCTACTGACCCACACAGGCCTGGCTGGATGTGAGGGTCTTGCAGCCGCTGTTCTCAGGAGGTGTGGACAGCCCCTCTGGGGCTGTGCCGTGCAGCACAAGGGTGAATTTGGTCAACGTCCCTATTTGTGGGATGGCGAGGCAAGAGTTAGAGGGCACTGTCACCCTGCCTAGCAGCTGAGGTCCAAAAATTTGCCTTCTTGCCCCCTCCTCCACCCCTTAAAGGCTCCCAATACCATAGTTGTTGGCTTCACTGGTATTTTCAATCTCCAGGACCCATTCGCCAGATGGGTTTTCATCCCAGGAATGGGTTGTCATGAAGGCCCAGTCATTAAACCCATCTGCTGAGTAGTCGTGTGGCCTGGAGGGAGGAAGGTGCACTCAGCTGTCTGAGGCCTCAGGGGTGCCCAGGCCAGGCTGTACCACACCTATAATATATGGACCATATACCCTCCCCCAGTGCAGCACTCATCCTGCTGGGCTGGAAATGCCTGCTAGCTTGGCTCTATTTCCCAACCAGGGGATTCTGGAAATGTGTGAGGGCACCACACAAGGGAAGGTACCCTGTTGGGAGGAACTCCTGCAAATGGGATAGTCCCCCAAGATAAAGCTATCACCCTACTAAGGAGGATTCTGATGACCATTAGGACTGAGTGGCACTAAGCAGCAAGGTGTGTAAGAGTGAATGAATGAATGCTTGCAGGGTATGGGAAGCAGAAAAGCTGGACCAGGTGGGGCAAGGGTAGGGCAGGCACCTGGCGGCCAGTAGGGTGGAGCGGGTGCCCATGGGGCTGACCAGGTGAATGGCCAGGTCACCACGGCGATTGTAGGACAAGGTGAGGCGTGCCTGAGCATGCTCCAGCCGGGTGATGTGGTTGGACTCCCCGAGGCATGCAGTCACAGTCTTCCGCACCTCTAGGCGCTTCCCGATGTCCCTGTGCAGAGAGCACCATGACGGTCTGTCACCCCCTGAAGCCCTCAGGCCCCACTCTCCCCCTCCCAGTTTGGGTCTAGCGCGCACTTGGGTTCGGTGAGGATGTCGATGATGCACTTCCGCTGGGGGGCCACCGTTGTCCAGTTCTGGGCTAGGGCCACCATGGCACCTGCGTCCAATAGCCCATAGCCATAGGAGTGGCTCACTACAGGGCAAGGAAGACTAGGTCAGCTGGGAGGCAGAGTGACTCTGCCTGCCCCAAGCCCAGCCCACTGGAGCACCCTGCTCACCTTTCCGGCCTACACCATTGGTGGTCCAGTCGTTAGCATTGAGGTGGGCTGGCTTCGAGGTCTGTACCACCAGGTGCTGCATGTCCCTCCAGGTAAGGTTCTTACTGCAGAGGAAGGGAGGGAGAGGCCGGGGCTCAGTCTTCTGGGAGAGAAGCTGGAAACTAAGGGCTGCCTGGCAGAAAGTGATGGTGGGGACAGTTGCCACTCAGCCCCCATGCACATACTTGGCCTCCAGGGTGAGAGCGATGATGCCAGCTGCCAAGGGGGCTGAGGCCGAGGTGCCTGTGTGTGACTCTGTGCACTTCTGCCGCAAGTCAGTGGTTACCTATCAGGGGGACAATGGTGTTGGGATCTAAAAGGATGACAGGAGCAGGGGGGCCACCTTTTGGCCTCCCATTGCCTAGGAGGCCCTCAGATGGTGCAGCAAGCCAGGGCTAAGACACGTGGATTCCAGCAGCCACCTTATAAATGTACTGTGGATAGGCCTTTTGTAGCCTACAGTTTGCCAAGGAACAAGTAGAGGCTGGAGATCATGGAGAGCAATACATGCTTTTAGGAAGCGTCTACACATCTCTGGGGCTTTACACACAGGGCTGTGGTTCCTAGAGTCTTAGAGAGCTCTCTAGTCACATTCCATGATGCCTGTGCCACCATTCAGCCACATGGGGTCCGGAAGGGGGCCCAGCAAGCAGCCCCACATCCCCAGCCCCAGCCTGGGACCAGACTCACGATCTGCTTCTCATTTTGGTTGCCACTGCTGTAGGTCGTGGCCAGTGTGGATGAGCAAGCTTCACTGTACCAGGGCACGTTGCCGAACTGCGTGGCGCTGCTGATGGACAATGTGTAGATGCTATTGGTGTAGCCATCGCAGTTGCAGCTGTCGTGTTCCCGGCCTCCATTCCCTGAGGCCCAGACAAAGATGGAGCCTAGCCCCCCGCGGCCCTGTGGACAGAGAGAGCTGGATTACTAGGGAATAAGGTCTGGCGTGAGATGCTGCTAGTGAGTAAAAAGGATGGACCCTCATTCTCTGGGGACCCTCTGTCTACCCCTTAGTACCCTGAGAGCCAGGGTAGATCAGATACATATGCAAATGCTTCTCTGTGCACAGGGGGAAAAAAAAAACAACAGACTGAGAACACCACCAAAATCCTCAGAGTGGTGATCTCCAGAGGAGTGGTTTTTATTTACTTTTCTCTTTTTTATCTGTCCTTCTAGTCCCTTAATGTTGTAATAAACATGCTTTGTGTACAATTAAAATTAAATACAAGAATAAATAAAACAGTAACAAAAACACCACCAGCCACTCCTCGCAAAGACGACTGGGCAATCTACTCCTGTAGTGGCACTGCCTCGGAAACCCAAGGAGGGGTCGCTATGAGTCTGGTCCGACTCAATGGCACATAACAACAACAGCAACAACAACAACAACAAAACATGCGAGAAGGAGAGCCATAGAAAAGACAGTACGGCCCCAGAGGGTGGGAGGCAGCTTCAGTCTCAGTTTCCAGAGCTGGCAGGGCTCTGCCCCTCACCTGGCTGACCCCTCGGAAGAAAGCCTCCTCAGCGAGGCGGGCCGGCCCATCCACTGTCTTGCCGTCATCCTCGGGGCCCCAGCTGGCGCTGTAGATGTGGATGTGGTTGGGGTTCAGGCCCAGCGAGCGTGCTTCCACTGCATCTGTCACCTCACCATCCAGCATGCGTACCCCTGGCCACAGAGGGGGGCAGGGAGAGGGATGCTGCATGGGTCCAGCTGCCAAGGGTACGTCCTAATGCACCCCCAGCTCTGTAGCCCCCGAGGATGGGCTGGGGAGGATACAGGCTGTCACTGGGTCATCTAAGGCTGTTTGGAAACCCTAGTCCTCCTAACAACCTGCCTGCCTCTGTCTTTTAGAAACAAGACTCAGAGAGGGGAAAAGAGGAGGATAACCCTACTCCACATTCACATATCCTGAATAAGAATGAGTCTCTGGGTTCTCAAAGGAGCATGTCATGTAGGTCTTAGGGTGGGCTGTGAGGATTCAGGGAGATTCCTGGCTAAGGAACACCACACTGCCCCACAGCACAGGGCCCCTTTTTGAATCCAGCTCTTTGAATCTCTAAGCAGAATATCCATGTGGTCAAAGGGATCTATAGTGGAAAAATGTCTGACATTGGCCAGATGGGACTTGGGCAGAGAAAAATCCACCTGAAGGGCCCCTCCCAAAGACAGGGTGGCTAAGATGCCTACTCACCTCCAATGCGGGCATTGTAGGCCACACCTACCCCACAGACGCCATTGTTGGCCACTGCGGCCACCTCTCCGGCACACCGTGTGCCATGCCTGCCGGGCAAAGAGAAAGCATTAATAGGGTGGACAGAGCATGGCGGACAGACACAGCCTGAGGAGCAGGAAGGACCAGCATCCCCTCTACCCACAGCCACCCACACCCTCTCCACCCAGCCTGTGGCCCTCTCTGTTCTGATTCATCTTATCCTTAGAGCCCCTGCTGGCCTAGAACTATTGTAAAGACTTAAGCCTCTTGGGCTTCAGCCTGCCTCCCTGGTGGAAGACAGAAGGGGACAATGGCCAAGGACCTGCTATTCCTCACCTATTGTCATTCATCTGTGTGTAACGAGGCTGGGGGTCAGGGTCCTGGTCATTGACATCAAAGCTGGCCCCAGGGTCCTGGAAAGGACATGGCCATAGTCAGGAGCAGCCTGACCCCAGGACTGAATAGGACAGCCCTCAGACATGCTGCTTCCTCCCCCACCTCCTCACATAATTGCCTGCCAAGTCTGGATGGTTCTTCTCAATGCCATCATCCAGAATGGATACCACGATGCCATGTCCTGTGTAGCCCTGAGCCCAGGCCTCCTTCACGTTCAGGTCCCGCTGGGTGGTGCCAGACTGCAGAGACACCCCCCAACCCCTCAGATGTGAGTCTGGGGGTGCCTTGATCCACCTTGTTACCCCAAAACTTCCTTCTCCACCTGTCCCTGTGCCTGGAATGCCACCACCGGTTGTATGCATTCTGCAGAAGGGTAAAGAGCTCTGGGAGGGTGACCCACAAGGCTTAGCAGACAGACTAGGGAGAGAGGTTGCCCAGCAGAAGGAAAGAGAAAGAATAGGCAGAGGCCCCAAAGTTGGTCTCTGCACCAAGACCCCACTGTAGGTGGATGGGTGCAGATGGGGAGGAAGACTTGGGACCCAGGGAGGTGTCATACCAGGTACCACTGCTGGGGAAACTTGGGGTCTGTTGGCTCCTGGTACACATCCCGTTTGGTCCGTCGCTTTGCCACCTGCTGCTCTAGCCATAGCACCTATGAGGGAGTGAGGCAGAGATAATATTGGCGAGGGAGTGGGGAGGAATGAGAGGCCTGCTCCTGAGAGCAGGAGAGGAGGAGGCTGGCCGCAGGGGGGCTGGGGCTGCACTCACTTGAGGCTCTCTCTGTAGCCGGCTGTGCCGCAGGCGGTGAGGCGACAGGGACCGCTTTGTCACCGCTCGATGCCAGAAGTGGTAATAGTCGCCGAAGATCTGCAACAGAGCAGGGAGATGGAACTGGGCTTTCCATCTGTCAGTCCTCGGGGAGGCAGGGATGGGGGTGGACAACGGCTGGGAGGGGAGGCTCACAACGGTAGTGGGGGGGCATCTGCTCCTTGCCTAGGACCCGGCAAGAGCTATGCAGAGGCCTAAGGGGGAGTGAGGAATGGCTCGCCCTCACTGGGATAAGCCTCTGAGCAAGTGAAGCTAAAAGCCCCAGGGCAGGATAAGTCACTGCTCCCATCCTACTACTCAGGTACCCCCATGGAGACAAGCCCAACAGCTCCTGCTCCCTGTGCTAGAATCTTTGCTCTCACTGCTCCTGCCCCCACCATGTCCCACGCCTAGGCTAGCAGGCCAGGTAAGAACACCTACCTGGCCCAGGTTGAGGAACCCATGCTTGCGTGCCAGGTTGTCAGCCACAGCTAGGCCTCCAGGGATGTGCACAGCCCACGTATTGGTGAAGACTTTCTGGCCACGGGCATCAGCTGCCAGCAGGACCAAGGTTCCTGCTGCTGCTACCATCCATAGCAACCAGGGCCTCAGCTCCATGGGAGGGCAGGTGGCCGGGACCCCGGAGCCCCTGTCTCCTTGGCCTGGTCACAGGGCCTTGGCTCTCACGTGCCTGCTCACTGCCTGTGGCCCGGGGCTGGCTGGTGGGGGCATGAGGCCAAGACGGGCAGGGCTGCAGAGGGAGGAAGACGGCTGCCAGCTCTGTGGGGAGAGAGAGGGAGAGTCAGCTAGGCTCCCCTGCTAGGCACTAAAGAAGCCCTCTCCAGCTCAATCCAGACCTGAAAGAGGAGAAGAGGGGTGAAAATAAGAGTCTCCCCAAAGAAACCCAGCTTCCCAAGGTCAGCTGGATAGATGGACCGATAGACCCGCATACATACAGAGACACTAAGCCCCTTTCTACACACGTATATAAAAATGGGATGAAGAGTATGAAAACTTGAGTAATTCAAAATCAGAAACAGCTACTGAATAAAGGCTTGTCATAATCAAAGTAAAAAAGATGGGCTACAAGACAGTATGTATACAATCTGGATTTTGTTTTTTAAAAAACTGTATGTGTATATTTATACATAACCATGAAACAAAATCTGGAAGGACACATGCTAAAATGTTAACAATGGTTCTTAGGATGCTGTGAATACAAGTGATTGTTATTTTCTTCATGTCCTTGTATATTCTCTAAATTACCTGGGTATATTTTATAAAGAAAGAAAATGTAAGCTTTTTAAATTTGTTTCAAATAAGAGGCATCTACATAACTCACTAGGGTTTCCTGGTTCGGCAAAGCCAGTCTAGCCACAGGGAGTTAGTTATGTGTACAGCCCCTGGGAGGAAAGAGTGGGTGATGTTCGTTGGGACAGGGGCTTTGGGGCTGTGCTCTGAGGGTGAAGGCCAAAGTGGGTTCACTTCCCTCTGTGGCCCAGACAAGCAAGAAAGTCCGGGTCCTGGATCATTTTCCACTGTTTCCTGTGGAGCATAGGGCTGTATGAGCCCTGCTTGGCCTGGGCCTGGGCCTGGAGGCCCCCAGCCACCCCCTTGCTCACTCCACAACTACCAGCCTTGCGTAACTTGAGCTGGGCAGCCAGGGCAAACACAGGCTGCTGAGCCAGGAGCACCAAGGTGAGGCTGAATCAATAGTCCGAGTGTTGTTTTTCCTCCTTCAGCAAACAGACAGCAGGACCTCTCTGCCTGGGGCCACATAACTGTTCCCACATAGGGCCCCTAACCAGCAGAAGCTAAGCAGCTAGGGGTAGGGGGAAGCTGGGGAAGGTCCTAGGGGAGAATACTGAGGGTATCCCATCTCAGTGCCAGGCTTATTCTGCAGAGTGCCTGACCATGGGGCCCTGAGTATCCCCACCCCTCCCATGGTCCAGCCCCAAAGGAGGCCACTCTGCACTCATTGTCCAAATCAAACTATCCCTAGCTCACCAAGGCCTGGGGGTGCTGGGCAGGCTGGCTCACTACTCAGACCCCCTTACTCTCCAGGGGCTTCTCTGCCACAATGAGTCTCCCTGGCAGCATGGGAAGCAGCACTTCTGCCCTGACTGCCCACACCCCACCCCACCCCATAGTTTGGGGGGGACTCCAAACATAATTCCTGGAGTATTTTCAGTTTAGACCAAAATAACATAACGGCTGATGGTGGGAGGCCTCCACAATGTAGCTCCTCCTCATCCTGATGGGCAGACTTCATAGGGCAGGCCTGAAAGCCAGAGCCCCAAGAGACTTTGAGTGGCCAAGTTCCAAAAAGCCAGGCTGAGCAATGGCTAGGCAGCCAGATGCCCAGCCTAGGGGGTGAAGGCCCTCATTTAACAGAGGATGTAGGCCTTCCTCCCCCCACCCCGGGGGCAAAGTCCAATAAGAACAAGGGCCTCTTTTCCCCTCCTTGCTATCATAACAGCTGCCTCTTGGGTCCAGAGGTCATGCAAAACCCTACCAGACCAGTGTTGTGAGCCCCGCTGAGGCCCCCAGATAAAGACTGGGGCTGGGGGTGGCCCAGGTACTGGTGTGATGTGGATGAAGCAGCAGCTGTCTGGCATTAAAGGTGATTAACCAACTATTTAATGACCTTGAGCACCCGGAAAGAAATCAGGCTTCAGGCAAAACCCAACAATGCCCCAAGAAAGAAGTCCTGCTTCCCTCTGCCCAGAGTCTCAAGCCATGGTGAGGGGTAGATATGTCTTCCACAGAGCCCTCAAGCCCCCAGCCAGCCTTGCCTCAGCATCCCATAGGAAGGGAGTCCCCCCCTCCAAAAAGAGATCCAGAGCTGAGAACAATGAATGAATGAGCTTTTCCCCACCCCCATCACAGACTCTGACTCACCCTGAGTCCCTGTTCCTCTGAAATCAGAAGGGAGGTTGGAGGATCTCTAGCCTCCGCGATCCCCTCTCACACACCGGAATGGTTTGGGGCCATGGCCACTGAGAGAACTGTAGTGCTCCTCCTGGCTGCGTTCTTGGGCAAAGTCCTTTTCTCCTGCCCTGGCAGCCTCCTGCCACAGAGAGCTACTCCAGAGCAGGGCCAGCTCCCAAGCTGCCTCTTCTCCCAGGCCTGGCTCTTGAATCCCAGGCACTGGGGGTCTGGTGGACACTGCCACAGTGCAGGCCACTCGAGGGCTGCCTGGAGAAACCCGATCCCGTCTCTCTTTCCAGCAAAGAGATACCAAGTCAGGTCCTGTTACAGGTACTGAGAGGCTCTCCTGAAATTGACTTCCATTCCTTGCTCAACCACTCATTTGCTGTGTGATCTTAGGCAACTCACTTCCTCTCTCTGGGCCTCAGTTTTCTTGGTGGTAAAAACTGCTAAACCATCGGTTTTCAAACTTTTTTTTTTTTTTTTTTAAGCCACAGAATCCTTTTTTCAAAAAATCAAATCTTATGTGGATATCCAATATACGAAATGGTCAAACTGGGGCTTGAAATGGGACCAGACCTGGCCCCTCTCCTGTGCTGTGTCCACACCTGGCTAGCAGCCCGGCAGTCCTCACTAGGCCACATCACCTGTAGTTGCCCCATGCACTTCCCAAGACCACTTTTCTCACTAGGTTTAAAGTAAGAGAGAATTCCAACACACTCCACTCGCTGAAGGTCTGCAATCCCCAGGAGCAAGGGAGTCAGGGATGGTGAGAAAGCCAGTATTGACCAGACAAATGACGCCTGTCACACCTGTCTGGCAAGCAGGCCGCCCCTTGGTCCAGCCACCCCACGGGGGCAGCAGGGGCCTTAGCCAGGCCATCGCGAACCTACCTGACCCAGCCTCCCAGCTCCCGCCGGCCTCTGCACCTGAGTTCTCTCCCCGCACAGGTGCGCGGCGGAACAGAGGCCCGAACGGCGAAGAAGCCCCTCCGTCTAGCAAACAGCCCCTCCTCCCCTCCCCCGGCGGGAGCGCAGGCCCTCCCCGGCCGCGGAGTGGGCGAACCGGCGGCGGGCTGGGAAAACGCCGGGGAGGCGGGAGCACCCACTGCCTCCGGAATGCTCACCCCATCCCGTCCCCAGCAGGGGCCTCGCAGGCGCTTCCTGAGGTCAAAGGGCTCGCCCTGGCTCCAAGCGGAAAAGTACCGGCAGGGGCTGGGGGCCGAGACGGGCCTGGCGCGCTCAGGTGGGCTGGGGACGCCCTTCCCGCTCCCCGCAACTCCACCCTCGGAGCCAGCCCCGAAGCCAGTTCCGAAAGGTCGGGCGGGCAGCCGGGCCCCAGGGGGACCTGGGTCAGAGCTGCCCCGGCGCCAGCGCCCCCAACCCTCCGCCGCCGGGGTGCTCGGCCGCGGAGCCCGCGCCTCCGGCACAGCGGCCCGGTCCAGCCGGCTTCCCCCGGGCCCGACTCCCCGGCGCGCTGCCTCCCCTGGGCCCCGCGCCCTCGCTGCTTACCCTAGGGAGCCCGGGCGGGGAAACTTTTCCAGGCGAGCGCCGCGGCGGCTCGGCCGAGCCGAGAGCCCGGCGGCGGGGGCCTGGGCTCTGCGTGGTCCCCACGCCCGGCAGTAGCGTCACGGCGCGG